GGAGGGCAGTGCCAGCCTCACTTCCTGCTCGGCGGCCACACTCAGCAGGCACTCCGCCGGGTCAGGGGGCTTCCCCACATCCGCGTCTCAGACGCTCGTCTGGGAGCAGGACGCGCTGTCGTCCTGAAAAGCGAACTCGGACACCTTTGTGGTCGTTCGGTCAGAACTCAGACTTGGTTCCCAAACGTGAGTTCCGTTTGCACGTGGATGAAATGCTGCGCGTGCACCGGGCCGGGGGCAGGGTTGAGACCCCGCGAACGTTTGTATAAAGTAGACGTACAGTTTCACCCGCGATCACAGAGGGTCCCGTCACCAGGATCCAAAGGGAGCCCAGACCGTGCGTGCCCCTTAGAGTTCATGTTTATATCTCAGATCCCGCAGTTGCTACGGACTAGACCGCTCTCCGCCTTTCACCTGGAAACTTCAAGGAAAGCAGGCCGCTTTGAGCTGACCGGGAAAGCCGGGCTGGGCCAGCAGATGCCGGGGGGAGGGGGCTGTCCTCCCTGTTCAGATGGTGTGGGAGAGTCCAGCCCTGTCCGAGGAGGGGCTCGCTGGGGCCCTGGCCTTCTGTTCTGGACGTCACTGCCCGGACCCCAGAGGGCGCAGTGAATAGGAACCCAAAGCTAAGACATGCAGCCTTGCTGGGCGCCTTCTCCTGAAACCTGTCATCCGTCACCTCATCCTCTGAAACTTGGAAATGCCTAGACGCTGAATTGGCGTGGGGCCTCCTGGGGACAGTGTCCCCAAATCTTCCAGCACCCTCTGTCCCCGCCCTGCCTCCTCTGAAGTGGTACATCCAGTGTTGCCTCCAAGTGCCTACCCCCTGGGGCCTCTGAGCGGCTCCCCTCCATGCAGAGCCCTCTGCTCTGACCAAGGAGCTGGCCCAGCGCCCTCGGGTGCCCAGGGGTGGCTTAGAGCCTCCTGTGCTGTTTCTCCCACAGGGGTGCCACCCCCTCCCGCCGCCCCCAGAAGAAACCTTCCCTTCCTGTGCCGTGTTTGGCAGCAAGTGGGAAGCTACCAAATAGCATTTGCTTCTGAATTACCGTTTGGCACAGACAGGGCTCGGGGAGCCGCCCAGCACTCGCGTATCCACATACCCGCCCGAGCCCTCGCCTGGTCCCTTCCTCCCGACGTCCGCCCCCCCAGCGCCTGCAGAGCCCCTCCCCTCTCTTCCCTGCGGGGCCAGACTGTCCGTGGGGCAGGGGAGGGTCCATGCACGCTGGGCACTTTGAGAGTTGGGGTTTCTCTCACGAGTACAGCTGCTTGGGGATGTGTGTGCTGAGGTGACCACAGGCCCTCACAGCATGGCCGGGGACTCGAGACGAGCTGTTTTGGACTGATGGCTTCCGGCTGCAGGAGCCAGAGCCTGCTCCGTGTCAGATGGCTGCCCACGGCCGTCCCGGGCCAACTCTGGCCTCCAGACACACCCAGCAGGGCTGTCTGAGCAGCACGTACGCAGCTCGACTTGGCAAAGGTGCGGGTGCTCCGTCAGGCACTCGGGCTCCCCGGGGAGAGGCGGGGGAGGGGGGTGACCACGGGCCCTCGCTCCACACGCCTGGTCTGCAGGTCGGCCTAGGACTTTGACCGAGGGCCCGTGTGAGACGGACATCGCCCACCCCTGCAAAAGGCACCCCCGGGCCGGGGAGGGGCAGGCCTGC